GGTGCTTAAATGTTGTTGTTAGAATGAGGCTGCAGTTAATGTTAAAGTTTGGAACAAATGGACTGCAATTCTTCTTTGTTCTTTAGCTTATTTGTGTAAATACATACTTAACCTTTGAAAGTAGTTCAATTTAGTTTAATATCAGTGTCTGGTCCTTTTGTGGCATTTTCCTGAGGCAAACCAAATCACAAATCCCATTTTATTTGACTCCCTTCAAAGAATGCTTGGCCAGGCTATCTTTGTCTATAGTTTCTATTTTCTTTGGATAACAGACAAAGACATCATAAACATCTCATTCGAAACATCAGTCCTCTTCAGAAGATCAGAGAAGATTATACATGAACACACTTAGTACATATTTGGTTTACCCTGAGATGGCCAGGGATTAGGAAAGAGCTTTTATACGGAATAAACTAAAGATAAGAATGTAATAAAGAAATTTACACAATGCTAAATTTGCTGATATCACCATTACAGAGAAAGTACATTCACTGTTACCCTGACAGTGTCTACCTTCAGGTTCAGGTTCAGGTTCACTTTATTTGTACCCAGACTAGGTTTGCAGTGTTATGAGTTCTCACAGCTTTCACATTTTACAGACACCACAAACATTAACCAACATATATGATAAAAGTGCTTTAAGGTTCCCAGCATCACTAAAAAACCGCCTAGACTAAACGACAAATTACCCAAAAATAAATAAATAAATAAATAACAATGTTCCTAAGACCTATCCTTATTCAACTGAGTGATAGCTGCTGGCACAAAGCTGTTTTTATACTGCTTAGTTCTACAATACAGAAATACAAACCTATGGCAGAAGTTTAAATTCATTGTTCAAAGGATGAGAGTCATCATTTAGAATTGAGTTTATCATCCGCTGTAACTGTCTGGTATACAGGGATGCTGGACTAAGCTGTGACTCCCCAATCAGCTTACTAGACCATCTAACAATTTGACTCTTTACAGACAAGTCTCCAAACCAAGACACCAGAGAAAATGTTAAGACTGATTCAATAAAAGCACGATAAAATAACATCATCATGGTCCTGTCAATGTGAAAATGGGCCAATTTCCTTAAACAAAACAGACGCTGGTGCCCCTTTTTACACACTGCTTCACAGTTTGCTTCAAAGTTCAACTTAGAGTCAATAATAGTCCCAAGGTATTTGTAAGATTGCACAGATTCTATTTTCTGACTTTTAATAGATGTAACTTCATGTGGGTGGGCTTGTTTCCTATAATCAACAATCCATTTTTTGTCTTAGATAAGTTTAATTAGAGGTAGGACTCCTCACACCACTTTATAAAGTCATCAATAATCGGGCCATGGCTGGTCTCATTGCCCTGAAGCTCACTAACAATAACAGTGTCATCTGCATACTTTAAAATAGTCCTGTTTTCCCACTTACCCTGACACATATTTGTGTAGAGAATAAATAATAGAGGTGAAAGCACACATCCTTGTGGGAAGCCCGTAGAGGAACAAACTTCGTCAGACAGGGTTCCAGTCACACTTACTCTCTGTGTCCCATTAGCTAAGAAATCAAGAATCCAGCCCACAATATTGTTACTCAATGTAAACTGTTCTAAAAGCCTATTAATTAGAACATGGGGTTGGATTGTGTTAAAAGCAGATCTCCAAATGTTTAGCAAGTAAGTTCAACAACGTAACTGTAGCGTCCTCTTCTCCTCTATGTGGCCTATAAGCAAATTGCATAGGGTCTTTCACAACCAAGCACACAGCGTCTTCAGGACATGGCTGCAGCGTCAACAAAACTACAGCGAGCCTAAAAGTTACGCCTTCTTTCTTTGCGTGAACATTTGGGCGGCGTTATGCAAACCTTCCCAGATCGTGACGTAGGTATGTGGGGGCGTGTTAGAATGAGCCGTTTTAGGTAGGCGTAGCTGACTCTTAACTTTTATAAAGAATATCTTTTTGGATTTGAGACTTTAGTCTTTGAAACTTTACAGATCTTCTTTATGCACCAAGAGCTTGTAACACTCCAAAGAGAAAGAAAAACTTGAAATCGCATCATATGACCCCTTTAATATACTTGTGTCAAGCTTGATTTCATAAATGGATATTGAGATATTCAACACTCAGTCATGTCACTTGTACGTTTTTCTGGGAAAAGGTTTTTGAGTCCAGGCCTACTAACTTTATGAAGCTGCCCATGTTTTTAATCTAAACACTCCAGCAGACAACATTGAAGCCTGAATTATAGAAATAGTTCAACCACAAAAGCACAAAAGCAGCAGGTTATGGTGACCAAAAAGAACAAAAACAGGACAGAAGGTAAAAGTAGTGCCTACAATCCAGGTACTGGATTATGTCTCATACTGCACCATGGTACTGCAGTATAAGACATGAATATGTGCTTTATAAGTACTAATAAACAACCAATATACTAGTAATATGCCAGCTAATAAGCAACTAGTTAATAGTGAGAATTGGTCCCCAAACTAAAGTGTTACCGTTTCTTTTAAAGGTACATAAATTATTAAAAAGTATATACAGTGGGGCAAAAAAGTATTTAGTCAGCCACCAATTGTGCAAGTTCTCCCACTTAAAAAGATGAGAGAGGCCTGTAATTTTCATCATAGGTATACCTCAACTATGAGAAACAAAATGAGAAAAAAAAAATCCAGAAAATCACATTGTAGGATTGTTAAAGAATTAATTGGTAAATTCCTCGGGAAAATAAGTATTTGGTCACCTACAAACAAGCAAGATTTCTGGCTCTCACAGACCTGTAACTTCTTATTTAAGAGGCTCCTCTGTCCTCCACTCATTACCTGTATTAATGGCATCTGTTTGAACTCATTATCAGTATAAAAGACACCTGTCCAAAACCTCAAACCAATAGAGTGCAGGTTTGGAATGATGTTTGTTGGTAAATAATGAGAGAATTTATGGTTGAAGTCTTTCTTTAACAATTCACAGGTGGATTTTTTATCTTCATGACACAATCCAGCTCTGTATTTGTAAGCAATTGGTTTTCGACCAGTTGATCAAAGAGTCAGCTGAGTCACTCACTCGTGTGAAATGCCGGGTGATTTCTCCTGACAAGATGCCGAAACGGTTTCCACAGATCTTGCCAGGGGGTTGATCAGAGCCAGCTGAAATCACAGCTATAAATTAGCAGCGAGCGTAAAGCAGAATGGCACTTCGCGGCATGTGGCTTCAGTTAACTGCTTATAGGTCCCGCTGCCTCTCGGAGTTATAGCTACATGTCATGCCCTCCAGTGCCTCCCAGTCTCTTCACCCTCAAAAAAGCAATTCACCTCCTGAAGGTGATTTATGGTGATGCACCATAACTGTGAGGAGTTATATTTTTCCTATTATGTCTGTACATGCAGACCACCGCGGGGCAGAAACATAAACCTCAAGATACAATCCTTTTGTTTGGACTCCGACAGCTTGATTGCTTTAAGCTACATGAGGAAAAATCACACTGGTTAGAAGAATGGTGGCTTTAGAGATGCAGGCATCACCAGGTGATGTACAAAGAAAGGCTTAGAAACAGCGCTGCGACCTCCCGCTGAAAGTGAAAGCTGGAGAGGTTTGTTTAGCGTCCCACACATATGCATGCTGACCAAGACAAAAGGCTGTTATTAAGTGGTTTAAGGAACGTTCTAGAGACTGTTGATAGAGCAGTGTCATACAAATTTGCACTCTTAGATATTTCGGATCATCCACAGACTAAATCTGGCTAAAACACTGTGTATACTCAGTCAAAGAACTTGAGATGGAATGTTAAGTCTTGAATATATTCTGAGTTAAATATGTTCATGCTTTATCAACAAGGTTTGTGACATGCTGTTGATTGTTGTTGTTCAGTCACACACATTCATTGGTCTAGGAGGCAAGTGTAATTTAGTATAATTTGAATTATTACCATCTACTCTACGCAAGTCTGTAAACACAAACGCCTCTAGCTTCACAAGCGCAGTTGGTGTCAGACTGCAGTTCATAACGTGTTGCAGGCGCTTGCAGCATTCTCAGCATTACAGCAAGGGGATCTATAGCAAGCATTAGCATAAACAGTTTCTTTCTACTGTCATTTTTCTATTTCAGGTCAAATACTATAATGATGGAGCAACAATCTTGCTCAACCAGTTAAAGCCAATATCTTTTTTTAGATTGACAAACTCTATCACCTCTTGAGTATGGAAGTTTATCACCAGAGCAATGTTGTCTGAGACTGCTTTCTTGCATTTGCATACTTGTTTATGCATGATTCTGTCCTTAAAATGTACACTGGTTAGAATGTGGACCGCCCTTGCCCACTGAAATTATGTCCATAAGACATAACCAGAGGTTGATCCACCAAAATTGCAGCTCAAATTCCAAACATTTTTTCATTAAGAATTCAAGTAAATGCATTTTAAAAATAAAAGCTTCAAATTTCTGCTTGTAAAACTTGCGGTAAATCTGTTGGAAGTGCTATCAACCAATGTCAGCAATTGCAGATATGCAAAATGTATGATTGGCTAAAAAGTTGTTATCCTGATCCTTCAACTCTTTCTTTTGTAAACAGAGCCTGTGGCTGTCACATAGACAGGTGTGATATCTTACAACACTATAATATTTCCATTAAATCAAATCATATTTCAGTATTCCATAATAACAATAATAATAATAATTTCAAATCTTCAGAATTGTTTTAAATTTTTTCAGACTATGACTAGACAGAATTTGACAGCCATGATAACCATGAATTTTATTGCATGGACAGGAGCAGCTTTGACATTTGATTCAATGGGGAGTTTTGAGTGACATGAAGTGGGAAAGACGATGACTGAAGTTTCAGTTTAAAGCAAATTAGATGCAGTAAGTGTGACTAGACTTGAATTGTGCCTCATTCAGTTTTTAGGTTTCTGCCTCAGTTTCCTGCCTTAGACTAAAGTAGTTAGTTAGTTTGTGTAGTTGCATTTGCTCTGCAAAATATCATGGGCAGAATCCAGTCATTTCAATAGGAATCCATGTGTTTCACATGAAGGTAAAACTTTTTTCAATGCAGTGTTTGCTCATTTTTAAATTGGTCATGTGAATTCATTGCACTGACCACCAGAAAGCTACTTGGTCAGAACGTGGTCAGACTTCTGTGTAAGCTGTGCTTCATACATAAAGATAGTGGATCTTTTTTGTCTGCAAAATTTCTTTGTTGTGACCACGCCTTCATTTTTTCAAAAACCATGCAACTTATTTTTCAAAGATATAACAAATTATTTTTGGTTTACAATCATCTGCCTAAATATATGGCATTTTGTTCATACAAAAGATTGTAATATTGGTCTGAGATTGTAACAATAGCTTTATTTTAAAACTTTCAGATGATGTTTGAGCTGAATGTTTGTTGTTGTTTGAACAGGTAGAGCAGGATCCATTGCTTCTAGAAGGCAATGAAATCACCTGGAATAATAAAAGGGGCTGGTTGGTTCCCAGCCACATCTTTAAGAACAGTTCCACTTTCTTAGGCTTCTTCTGCTCCACCTCAGTCCACAACAACGAGCACAGATCATCTATATTTATTGTGCAGGCAACAGGTAAGCACTAAATATTCAATAGCATAGCTGCCCTTTATATCAAAACGGTTTACTTTTTTCATATACTGTTCATTCCTGTTCTTCAGAATCTTTCTTCAAGAAGCAAAAACTTGCCTGTAGGCTGTGCAGGCTGTTGGTTAATGCTGCCGAGTAGGCACATACTTTTTTAAGTAGTTGTAGGTAATGAAGCCTTTAACACAGTAATTTAATATTTCACATTAATAATGGTTATAGCTATAATAACAAATAATAGATCAAGATGCTATTGAGTAAATTGAATACTCTGTTTTACAAAATTGTGATATTGCCAAGAAGGATCATTTATGTTTTAGATTTAAACCATTTGGCAGATACTAGGAGAGCGACATGAATAACAAATATTCATCCATCAAACAATCAGTGTCAACAATCACATTCCAGTTTCCTTTTTTGATTTTAAGGTTGTGGTTAGGGGTGGGAACAGCATTCTCAACCGCTCCTGCCCGTTGCCGTATGTTAAAGGCTGTGATTGGTTTATAGGAAGGTTGTTCCAGAACCAACAGAGATTTTTGATCTAGAAACCTGTTTATCTTGGTTAATCGTCATGTAGATTGTTGTGCAAGTTGCTAAATTGATTGAAGTATAATATGATGATTTAATAAGTGGAATGATCTATTATGTAGACTTTATATTTTATATCACATTGAAAACAGGATTTGTCCAGATATTTGAGTGGATTTTTTTTCTTGGAGTTGGCTGTGATCTTCTCCCATCCTGTTGAGGGACCTCTCAGAAATGCTTTATCATTACACTACTAAATGAGACCATCGTCCTTCTTTTTTCGATCTAAAGTGAGGGTCATACAAAACACTGGCCAAAATCAATAGCCTTTTACTCAAGAGGGACAAATGAAAACTTTGCTTGAATTATGTGGTGCTGTAGAGTCAGCAGAGCATACCAGCTGACCTCCTGAATAAATATTACATTAGCATATCTAATAAAATGCACCTAATGGCTTTTTTTGCTTCACTTGCTTTAATTGGGCCATTAAAACATACAAATTACCAGCAACTCACAAAGTCACAGTTGGGTTTATTTAGATTAATGAGGTTATTACTAATCACACTGATCACACACACACACACACACACACACACACACACACACAGAAAGGACCACAGCAAAGAAGACCTTGCATTGAAACACATCAGTCAATGTCAGATCCTGTGATTTCACAATATTTCAAAATTTGCTGAAAAAGTGAGATTGTTGTTTGCTAATAAAGACGCTTGTAAACAATATGGATCAGATCATTTTTTTTAATTTGTAATCATATTTTGGTAACTAATATTTTAAGGTGTCCTTGTTACAGTGTAAATATGCATTTAAGTACTGAGTAATATTAATTAACTACATGTACTTACTATATGGTTAGGGTTAGGATTAGGGTTACTTGCATGTAATTATGCATAATTTATTAAGTACATGTAACAAGGACACCTTAAAATAAAGTATTAACTCATTTTTTTAAATAGTCAGATGCCATTTTCACATAGAGGTTGATAACACTTCAGTAAAAAATCAGTAACACTTTATTTTAGTGTCCTTGTTATTACACTAATAACAGTAAAGTACAATGCATAATTACAAGCAACTAACCCCAAACCAAACCCAAACCTTAGCGCTAACCCTATAGTAAGTACGTGTTGTTAATTAATATGACTTAGTACTTATTTGTGTAATTACACTTTAAAAAGGACACCTTAAAACAAAGTATATCCCCAAAATCTCACTTACAGTAAGCGGTTCTGTACAGCGGTACTTTAAAAACTGCCCAGAGCATCTAGCAACCACATAGCAACCACCCACAACACCCTAATATCATGGTGGAGACAGCAATGATACAAACACTTCGTCCATTGCTCCAAGAACTTGAAAAGTGCTGACATGTCCATGTTTGCAACACCCAACAGGACTGAAGTTTTACGAGCTCAAGCTGTTTCCTGAGGACTCGCCCGTGGAGCTCATGCAGGGGGAGGGTCTGGAGCTCAACTGCACGGCGCTGGTCGAGTTCAACACCGGTGTGGAATTCCACTGGGACTACCCAGGCCAAAAGGTAATTACCAGGCCACACTGCATATTGCTGTTATCACTATAACAAGCTACAAGAAAGAACATGACCTGTCCAATTCAGAGTAAATTACCTTTATCTAATTAATTTGCAATGGTATTGGGTTGTGAACAAAAATGCAGCGGCTTTGGTGTGATTGCGTTCTATAGTAATAAATCTCTGCAAACCGTCTTATTCATCATTCTCCCACACTCATGTGCTTATCTGTGGCCACTCATTCAGTACATCTATCCAGTTATTATGTCTCAACAGTCCAGGATTTAATTTCTACGTCAGCCTTAGTTAGTTTCCTGCATCTCTTGTGTCTCTTGCATCTCTGGAGTCATGCAATTCATGTTCAGGTCACATTTAGCCTATTAAGTGTTTTTTTGCTTAATAAAGCCTAATTTTATTTTTAAACATAGTGTGTACTTCTTTAGAATTGAAATAATATATCATGTATTTTTATGCATTAAAAAGAAAATGCTTAATTGGCATAAATATTGGCACAATGCAAAAAAAAAAAAAAAAAGTCTCCAATTTCTTATAATTTTACATATTCGTATCTTATATTATTTATATTTCTAATATACTTCTTGTTGTTTTGCGTAGACCTCACTGTGCCAGCATAACTCAAAATGATCTATGACTGCGGTATAGTCGTTCTGTAGCTAGTGACCTTTCAAAATGAGGGAAAAGCTAGTTATGTGGTTGTATATAGTATTTTAAATGGTGATGTTGCAAATAGCAAGTGTACACAAAAGGCATACCACTAATCAGATTTTTTTGCACTGTGCGGACAGGAGAACAGGCTGGCAAGTTTTGAATCTATGCGTAACATCCTGGACAAAGCCACGGAAGTCTCTAGTATCCTTACAATCAGAAGTGTTCATGTGGATGATAGCGGTTACTACACCTGCTCTGCTGGTAGTGTGGAGGTGAAACAAGAGTTTACTACTGTCTTAGTTTACGGTATGTAAAAATAACTATGCCTGTACTGTTATACATACATAGTTAAACACAAACAGCACGTTACTGCTAATGTAACAGCTCTTCTTCCATAATTCCACAGAGAAACCTTTCATCAGCTTGGACTACAGGAATGGATCAGTTATAGAGGCAAAGGAGGGACAAAAATCTGCCCGGCTGCCTGTGAAAGTGTCAGCATACCCCTTACCAGAAACACAATGGTAAAAAAGTCAAGCTTTTGCAAACATGCATGAGCAACTTGAGAATCCTGTGCTTGCCATGTAATCTGAATGTATTTTTCAAGCCAGTCTCATAAAAATACGTACCTCTGAGTACTTTTCTGCAACACTGTTTTTACATACCTTACTGCACGTTTCGCGGCAGTTTCAAAGAGAAATGTCCACTGAGTGGCGCTAAAACGTCTCGGTTACGTATGTAACCCTCGTTCCCTGAAGGAGGGAACGGAGATGCAACCGTGCCATTTTAACTTACTTATATGCAGATTTGAACTGTTTTGTCAAACCGTAGTTATGCGGGATTCATACCGGAGCTCCTCACCTCTCAAGTACGTCTCCGTACTCCGTGAGCTACCGAACAAACCTACCGTCTATGAAAACCCATTGATATGAAGCTGGATATGTGCGGTATATGCTAACATTCAAAAGCATCAGTTTTCAAATCTCCCAGCATATGAAAATTTTTTTGAAGTCACAACATAATGCTCTTCAAGTAATTGTGCGAAAATTACGCTTTATTAATCGAAACTCTGTAAATCATACTTTGTGTGAAAATAATTTAAAAGGTGTCAGAGTTTTACTGCCTCTAGTGTTCATTTCTTTTGGAAACTGCAGTGATATGTACTTATTGGTACGTATTTCGCATCTTGCGAAAAAGTGCCCCCAGGTACGCTTTTGCCATGAGACCGGGTAGGTATTTTTATATCATTTAATCTGTCATTAAAATAAATGACCATGCTCTGCATCAGAAACAGTTTTGCCTGACAACACCAAGCTCTCAGATAGAGACATTTCGGACACATTTTATTTTAAGGTTCAGTTCTCGCTAATAACAAACCATTAACTATGAACTTTGCCTCAGTAAACTCCTAATTTGCTGCTTATTAATAGTAAGTAAGGTAGTTCTTAAGTTTAGGTATTGGATTAGGGATGTAGACTATGGTCATGCAGAATATGTGCTTTATAAGTACTAATAAACAGCTAAGTTAATAACAGGCATGTTAATAAGCAACTGGTTAATAGTGAGAATTGCTCCCTATACTAAAGTGTTACCGACATTTTTACCATTCAATAAATTATTAATGGATAAAATCAAGTGCCATCCTATATTTTTCTTCATGTTGAATCTCCTGTTTTGGAAACAAAATGTCATGGACACATTTCATCTTTAAAAATAGTCATGAATGTGCGTATATTAAACCAGACAGTATTATGTTGTAAATGATCTATATGTGTGCAGGTATAAGAATGGCAAACTGATCACCAGACGGCCAGAGTTCAGTCGGTTTAGGGTCCAGCAGCATGCTCTGGAGATCAGAGATGTGTTTAAGCAGGATGCTGGAGAATACACACTGATCCTGAAAAACACACGTGCAGCCCTGGAGAAAAGACTCAACTTTACTCTCATAGTCAATGGTAATGCTCTCAATGTGTAATAGATGTTTATATGAAATATCTGGAATTTTGTATTAAGTGAATCCATTATAAAAATTTAAAAAATCAGGGTTGGTGTACCTTGGAGGTTAAAAATCTGAGCTGGAAACAAAAAAAGATTGTAGATGCAAATGCTAGAAGGGATCATTCATCAAATAAATGAAAATGAAAAATAATGCATGAAAATCGTCTTGTATGTGCAGTTTTATTTTCCTGCACTATCATAAGGATGGCAGGTGGAAGCGAAAAAACATGGAATAAAAGTTTAAGACAGAATCATGGCAGTGGTTCCTTAATAGATACACTACCGGTCAAAATTTTGGAATTAGGAATTATTAACATAATTCCATGATTCTGCAGGTTTTAGAAATAAGTCTTGTTCATATAAAATATAGTAAAAACAGTGATATTGTGAAATATTACAATTTAAAAGAACTATTTAGATCTAGTAGTTAGTTGTGAGTTCATGTTAGCTCAGGTCCATTACATAATATTCACGATTACAACTTTTGGTCACACTTTATTTTAAGGTCCAATCGCTATTAATTAACTGTTAAATATAACTTTTGCCTCAATAAACTCCTGCTTATTAAGGAAGTTGTTAAGTTTAGGTATTGGGTTGGATTAGGGATGTAGAATATGGTTATACATATATATGCTTTTTATAATATAGTTTTTTAGAATTTTTTAGAATATTTGCTTTAGAATATAGTTTAGAACCTTTTAGAATGTATGCTTTATAAGTACTAATAAATAGCCAATATGTGTAATATGCATGCTAATAAGCAACTAATTAATAGTAACAATTGGTCCCTATACTAAAGTGTTAACCAACTTTTGATTTGAATAATGTATTAGTAAATTAATAGTGTGTAGTAAATGTTGAAATTAACATTAACTCTGATTAATAAACGCTTAGTTGTGTTTATTAATAAAATAATATTAATTAATAAAAGTGTTGTGCTATTAGTTCATGTTAACTAATGTAATTCACTAATGTTAACAAAGGGAAACTTATTCAAAAGTTTAATAGTGATATTTGTCCTAAATTTCTCGCTTTGCACGTGCAGTTCCTCCTCAGATCCATGAGAAGGAGGCAGCAGCACCTACTAACCCCTACAGGAGGAGCAGTCGACAGACGCTCACCTGCTCCGCCACCGGGACCCCTCCTGCCACCATCACCTGGCAGTGGAGGCCGTGGAGCCCCTGCGGTCTCAACAGCACCCGCAGAACCTTGTAAGAGACCAGAGGATCGACTCGTCACATCTGACATGCTTTCTGAATCGTGTTGAAAACCTCTGCCGGTCAAGAATTCACGTCGTTGAGCTGAGAATTTACATTTGCATTTATGCATTTAGCAGGCGCTTTCAAAGTGATTGTTGCGAGGTTAAGAGGTTCTCCAAACATCTCAAGTCTCAGGATATTGCCGCTCTGAAGGCATTGCACTCCCAGTGTCAGCACTGGATCAGTGGGAGTATTAGTTGATCTGGCGAAGCTGTCGAAATCACCATTGAATGTTAAACGCCAGTGGTTGCGGTTCACGTTGAGTTCAGAGTGGATAGTCTTTGTCCCTTTTGGCGACGTGCCCACAGTCTCTTACTGGTCAGAGATGCTCTTTCCCGTGTTTTCAGAAGCCTTGTTTATTTTTTCTGCAGTAAAGGCTGAGCGGGCGGCGCGGTGGCAGCTTTTCTTCCTTGTTGACTGGAGATAAGGCAGCTGGGGAAGGTGGGGAGGTTAGGAGGGCGTTAGGGATATTTATAGTATTTGGCTTGCAGAGAGCACAGTGTGAAGGACAGAGGCCTGTGGTCTAAACAACAGGAAGCACAGAGACAGAGGCATTTAAGCATCCTCTGGCCCTGAAAGAGGACTGCTTGGATCTTCTCTGTGGTTTGAGTTGCTTCTAGAGTCCGGGTTGGAGGGAATGAGCTACGGGCGGCAGCTGAATCATTCAGACAGGTCCAGAGAGAGCCGGAGGCGAACCGCAATTCCCATTTGCTTCCACATCACTTCTACACTCTCACAGCTGAGGCCTAGAGTCCCTAATCACACTCGAACCAGCACTCAGAGTGCATTATATATTTATCAGCAGTTATTATTTCGCGATATCAGGCTGTGAGTTACACTCTAAGGGTGTAGATATTAGCACTGTTCCAACAAGTGAGCCACCTACCTAGACAGTTACATGCATTATATGGGTAATTCACCGCTGCCATGCTGGGGTTTTAATACAAGTTGGCTATGCAATATATGCCGAAGGCAGTTTTTTAAAATCAGTGCTTCATGACTCGTGCTGACTTTGCGTGAGTGGAAAGTTATCATGCTTGGTGCTAAAGGGTAGGTTCAGGAATTTATGTTTAAATAACCATTCTAATTCTATGAGAACAGCAGTCCACACCACAACTATAACCTTAATGACACAGAGGAACAGTGTTGGGGAAAATTACTTTTAAAAGTAATGCATTACAATATTGTGTTACTCCATAAAAAAGTTACTAATTACGTTACTTAGTTACGTTTTATGGAAAGTAATGCGTTAAGTTACTTTTTAAAAATTGGACAGGGGTTGCTTGTTTGTTTTTAAAATAAAAAAGTTATATTTTTGGCAAATATAAAAGCCTTTTCACACCAAAAGTGAAATGAATCAGCCTCAGGCTGAAGGGAAAGTAAAGTTACGTCCGTACAGTAGAATGCAGAACACACATTTCAACACACTTCAGCAATAAAAAAAGACACACAAATGTTCGTCTAGAGTAATTTTTGCTTATTAGTACGGTTGAACTGGATCATAGAAGGTCAGAAGCAAAGACATTGGTTAATAGAGTGGGATTAAATACATAAAGGATATTTGTGTTGTTTAACATTTAATTATTGCTGGTTTGCATCATAGTCTGAGTTGCATTATTTTATTCATTTTGAGGAATACTGAATCTGTATTATCTGTATCTGAATATGTTTTTTTTGTGAGTGAGATGAATTAATTCATATTTATTTTAGCACTACAGTAACATCTTCTGATTTCTCTCAACATGGGGACAGGAGAGCTGTCAATCAATAAATTTGAAAAAAAAGTAACTTGTGTTACTTATTTGAAAAAGTAACTCAGATATTCTCTTGTAAGTTAAAAAGTAATGCGTCACTTTAATAGTTACTTGAAAAAAGTAATCTGATTACACAACAGTGGAGGAACGATATCACCGGAATCACTTGCAGAATGATTTTCAAACATTGACAGCCAGTCTGAATCTACTCTTTTAAGAGCTTGAACATTTAAGGCAGAAGATGATAAAACTACAGTGCGCACTTAAAATGAACAGAAATGTATCATCTGTTGGCATGAACATAATAATATATATTTCATCAATAATATAGTTAGCAATGTACGTATCTTTAATGAAAAATACGGTCACACTTTATTTTAAGATCAAATTCTCACTATTAACAAACCATTAACTGACTTTTGCCTCAAACTCCTAATTTGCTGGTTATTAATAGTTAGTAAGGTAATAATTAAGTTTAGGTATTGGGATGTAGAATATGATCATGCAGAATATGTGCTTTATAAGTACTAATAAACAGCCAATATCTTAATAATAAGCATGCTAATAAGCAACTCATTCATAGTGAGAATTGGACTTATACTAAAGTGTTACCAAAAATACAATCCCATAATGCATTGCTACAAGCTGAATGAATAAAATCATAGAGGATTGTGAAGAGGTCAGGAGATATTATAAATATGCTGTTTTTTAAGATACATTTTTAAGACAGCACTGTGAGAGAAGACAATCCCAGAATGCACTGCAACAAGCTTAGTAAAAAAAACTTATCCAAGATAGGAAGACAAGTCAAAAGGTGTTTTTTGTTGTTGTAATATTGTAAACAGGCCATACATTTATTTTATTAAATTCCAATATGTTTGACTAAGTTCAGTGCCGTGCATTCTGGAATTGCCTTCTTTTCAAAGGAGCACACACAAATTGGGTGAAACTAATCATTTTTAATTAGATTAAACTCTTTATATACATTTTTCTTCTATCTACTATATCTACTGTACATTATTATATTTATGACATCTCTTGCCAATTTGAAAGATTCTTCTTTTTTTTTTTCAACTGAGCTTACTGCAGCGTGTTGTAGGATTGCCTTGTTTGTATAGGACAGATAAAATGCTACCTTATATCGTGTGTACAGCTGAAGAGGGAGGGAAGGTTGGGGTGATTCAAAGAGCCCATGTCAGATTGGGGGCCCCCTGGAATGTGATTTGATTCAATACCATTTTCAACCAAGCCTTGTGTCAGGATGGGCTGTATTATGCCTTAAAATGCTTTCTAAGTAGACAGCTTACTAGGTTTTGCAACATACCCATTGTGTTAATTCTTTTAAATGAATCAAAGGCTCATGCTCATGTGTGGCCTTCATTTGGCCACTCATTCCTTGCTTAGCTCTCATCACACACAGGAAGGCAGATGCATCTTAAAGCTCTTCCTGGTGTGGGAACTGTCAATGTGCGCATCCTGCATCTGATATTCCCGCTCTCCTCTCCCTCTTTCTCTGTCCCACAAACAATTTAGGGAATAATATTCTTATAGTTTATAAATGCAATGAGACTGATGTTTTGTCCACAGACGTTTTGTCCATGTCTGTCCTACTCCTATGGTATTCATAGTTGTGTTTTCATTTTCACAGGGGTCGAAGGGGTCAACGAGACAAGATTCCCATCTGTCAAAACTGGATAGGTTTGGATCCTGAACACGCTGTCAATCCTATCGAGAGTGTTGAAACGTTGACTGAGATGGTGGACGGGAAAGAAAAGGTTCACTTCCTGTCTGAATAATTCTTATTTCCTGAAAATTTCCCATAAATGTCTGAACCAAATTTATGTGCCCGCAACCTGAACCCTGAGTGTTTTATGTGACACCAGATATCCGAAACTTGACATCTAGGTTGAGGGAGGTGGTGGGGGCGAATGCGTTACAATTTCCACTTTCGAAATATTTAAATCCATCTTCCAGTTCTTGCTTCCTGGATGGAGAGGGAATAAACACACATTAACACAGCACTCTCTTCCTGTTTTCTGTCACACCTGTGAGGTCATTTCCTGTGTGTGACCCTGGGAATAGGAGTGGCAGGGGAAAGAGAGACTAATACAGTATACAGCTTAAAGGGATAGTTCACCAAAAAGTAAAAATCACAATTTATTTACTCTTGCTGTATTTCATTCTGAACCTCTTTCTTCTATTGAGCACAAAAAGGGATTAAATCTCACTGACTTGTTTTTCTAAACATCTTCTTTTGTGTTCCACAAATGTCTCATTTCTATACAGAATATCTGTACAGGTTTGAAACAACAACACAAGTAAATAATGAACAGATTTCATTTTTGGGTGAACTATCTCTTTAACAATGTTTTTTTTTTTTTTTTTTTTTTTCCTAGATTTGCCTGTGATCCAAATGAAAACAAGTCAGTCTTTGAAATTGCTTGTGTTGTTTCCACAGACTGTCAGCCGTTTGGTTATTCAGAGCGCCAATGTGTCGGCTATGTACAAGTGCTCAGCAGAGAACAAAGTGGGAAGAGATGAACGATTGATCTATTTCTACGTGACCAGTGAGTTTCAGCAACACTTTTGTGCCAAACAAAACTGTATGGATTTTCAATAACATCACAATAGCTCATGCTTAAATCACCATGAAATCAAAATTGACGGTTCTTGCAGCGTTTATTTTAAATGATGTGTTTGTGCATATCCTTTTTTTGCCCTGCATTTTTTTCTTGTTCAAGAATCCATTTCACTTGGATCTATACTTCACAATAGGGAAAAAAGATGATCACTTCTATTTCATAAAAATGTTAACCCTGTAAAAAGTTGGTGTAATTTACAGTAAAAAGCAGCTGTGTTTGCCAGAACTTTACCGTAAAAAATATAGAAGCACATTTTAAAGTTTTATAGATTGATAAATAACAGGAAAAAGTTTAAAAAAAAAAAAATATATATGACCTGAAATAATGGTAATATACCGAATTACTAAAAATCTGTTACGCTTGTAATACAGTGCTGTGAAAAGGTTTTTGCCCCCTTCCTGTTTTTAAATTTTTTTTGCATATTTGTCACACTTAAAAGATTCAGGAGAAAACAAGAGAGTTTTTGGAGAGAAAAAGAAATTCAGAAAGAGAGAAAGAGAAAAAATCTTAGGCTCAGGAATGATCTAAGACATTATTTTCCAACTTCATTTTTCTTCTTCTTTTTTTTCACATTGTGGTTCCAGGCTTCCATACTTTCACTGGGTATGCAATCTAATTTATCAGACATGACAAATGAGAAACACCAAGCCAGGTGTTCATTCAGAAGTAGAAATGTTGCCACACACACACACACACACACATCAATTTTACACTTTTACACGTTAGTTTTATATTAAATACAATAATACAATGTGGTAATCGAGATCTGGCAGCAAAACTGACAGCTTTTCTTGCACATGAAATCACCCACATGCCAACAAACAAATGAGAACGCTAAACAATAATCACAATACATAGTGCCAAAGCTGTTGTGCATCCACTTAACAGGTTTTCAGTGTAGCATTTTTTACAGTTATTTACCATTAAAATGATTTTAAAATGATTTAAAAATGGTCATTTTTACAGTGTACAGAAAGAGCCATGAGTATGCTATGTTGTGTGGTTAATCCAGAAGATGCGTGCCATTATTTTTCTTATTATTCACATTAATTTCCTATTCAGCTATCCCAGAGGGATTCGGGATAGAGATGGAGCCCTCAGAGGATCCGCTCGAGCAGGACCTGGTACGGCTGAAGTGTAATGCAGATAATTACACCTATGAGAACCTGCGGTGGTACCGCCTGGACCCGCAGGCTGTTCCTCCAGAGCTGGACTGCAAAAGTCTGCACCAATACACCGAGTCTCTGGGGGGAACGCTTTCGTTCCAGACCACCAGCAACAACTGGGTGCTGGAGCTCACCATTACCAACATCCAGCTGCAGGACGAGGGAAACTACGTGTGTGAGGTGCAGAACCGGCACAGTGGGGAGAAACATTGCCACCGCAAGTACATCCCAGTCAAAGGTGAAGGTCAATCGATGATCAGTTTTATTTTTTTATAAGTCCAGGGACGTTCCTGCTGTCAGCTTTCTGTTTGCTACTTACATACAAAGCTGACTTTTAAGGTAGCACCTAAACTTGAAAGTGACTTGAATGCTTTAAGTAGTTAATCATGTATTAAAGATACTTTTACTTGTGACTCTAGCTCTTACATACGATTCCAGTGGAGTTCGGCATTAGTGTTGCTAAGCTAATTACTGAATATTCTACTAAAAGCTAAAATATAACACACAAATACTAAAATAGATCCAAATAGTTCAATTTTAACAGATGGAACATTGTTTTATAAATACTTATTGTTATTGAATGAAAGAAGTATATTTACAATTTATGAAACAAGATATCTTCGGGATTCCTAAAATATTGTCCCACTAGATTTTGGAACAGAGGTTGAATCTGTATTTTGTAAATTTGACTTTGCATTGTCCACTGTCCAGGCTGTCTGTACATTTTGAAACTGATACACCTCTTTTTTTTCATGGGGGAACTATTATTGCCCAATATCAAAAATGTCCAATGTGTGTATAATGTGTCTGTATGTCACTGGCACTACAAGTGCTTTATCAGTGAAGATCTAACCAAAACTAAAGGCATATTCTCTCTTTTCCTATGTCTGTTCCAGCACTGGAGGCACCTCGATACCGTAACAACCCCACCAATCAGACAGTGAATGTGAGCGAGTCGCTGCAGATGGAGTGCGATGTCGAGGGCACGCCCTCTCCCCAGCTGTCCTGGTTTAAAGATAACCAACCCCTTCACCAGACATCAGGTTAGTAATTCAGGTCCAATATAAAGTGGGACCAAATTGATCATTTTAAACAGTGTACTTACTGTGTACATACATGTTTTTACTTTGTCCTTATATTTTTTTTTAAATACCTGCATGTACATCTGTAATTAATATGTGTAATTACATCTATGATTATACTGTTACCCTACCCCATAACCAAACATGAACATAACCATACCATGAAACCTGTCTCTAACCTTATCTATATATATATATATATATATATATATATATATATATATATATCCCACCTCAACAGCAGCAAAAGTGTTTTGCAAAACAACATGAACACAATAAACGCATTGTACCAAACTATATATTTTTTGCATTAATTGAAAAAATATATATATATATTTGCTGTAATTACACATAGTTAAAGCTGCAGTCCGTAACTTTTTTGTGTTAAAAATTTACAAAATGTATATAATAATCGAGTACACCATCAATCCATTTTCCAAACCGTGTTTTTGGCTTGTCCTGAATCACTACGGTGCACCTATAATTCGTGTTTATATGCAGATTATTTTAGACTGGTTCGGGTAGGTACCGCTGCGGAGTAGCCCAGTACCTGCGTGATTTCTCATAGACATAAACAGAGAGAAGTAGCTCCGGCTACAATGTTCTTCTGCAAGATGCACGCAGTTCTGTTTATTAGCTGCTAGAGCGCCAAAAGTTGCGGACTGTAGCTTTAAATACATCTAATATAAAGTGGGACCAGGGTGTTTGCTAAGGCAAGCTTATACTATACTATGTTATACTATACATACAGTGGGGCAAAAAAGTATTTAGTCAGCCACCAATTGTGCAAGTTCTCCCACTTAAAAAGATGAGAGAGGCCTGTAATTTTCATCATAGGTATACCTCAAATATGAGAGACAAAATGAGAAAAAAAAATCCAGAAAATCACATTGTAGGATTTTTAAAGAATTAATTGGTAAATTCCTCGGTAAAATAAGTATTTGGTCACCTACAAACAAGCAAGATTTCTGGCTCTCACAGACCTGTAACTTCTTCTTTAAGAGGCTCCTCTGTCCTGGACATACATAGCAATAAAATGAATTCCCTAAGACTTTAAAGTCATTTGTAAAGACCTGAATATCATAGAGACATTGATTTTGAATTCTTTTGAATTAGGCCACAAGCAGCTACCCAGAAAAAAATATTAAAACCTAAAAATGGTCACAAACCAGTCCATATTAACTGGATGAACTCAAGTTTCAAAAATAGAATTTATCACTGAATCACGCTAAAAAAATACCACACTAAATACTGTATATACCAATAAAACTCATTTTATGAGTTAAATCAGGTACAAATAGGTTTTTAAGCTAACGATTACTGGTTACCACATTTTACAGTGTAGAAAACATTTAGCATTCACCCATAAAACCCTAGTAATCATATAACAACAGGACCCAAAACCACCTGGCAACCACACAGAAAAATCTAGCAACCACCTAGAACATTCTAGCAACTGCATAGTCATGTGCCAAAAAAATCGTCCTTACTAAAATACTTCCTGTACTTAAGCAGCCACATAGCAATGCCCTTGCAATCACCTGGCATCACCCTTGCTACCAACTCAAACTTTACAGCTGCATAGTGATGCACTAAACATACAGAATACCCTAGCAATCACATATCAATGACCTGGCAACCACCCAGGACACCACTGCAGCAGTGAGTTTAGAACTGGCAAAATCTCAGAGAAAATATAAAAATCCAGTAAACTCCTACTGAGGTTCAGTAGTAATAATGTACAGATTGTGAGTTTGACAGGATATGTGAAGTAATAGGTATAGATTTAAGGTATTGCATTATATAGATATACCATTGTCTGCTTTAAAATTAACCATATATTCTTCAGTTTGATTTCCTCTCTATTTCTCTGCATGTTGTTCAGCCCCCTTCAAATTAACATAAATGTGCTATTCCAAAACACTTCCATTACAGATTACATTATACTCAGCACAGCAATCCCCTCTAGCTTAGCACATTTGAATAGGAACACACTTATTCATGAGCACATACTAACACACACAAAATTGAATTCTGGTGCTGGAAAAAGCACTCAAGTCATGCTAATATACTGGAGATCTTTTGGATTGGAAGTTGAATGGAACACTGGACACTGTATAATAGCATATCACAAACCAAAAAAAAACAGTTCTGGGAATGTATGTGGGTTGCTTGTAGGCTGTAAGTGAATTCACATGCAGTGGTACTGGAGATCTTTTGGATTGGAAGTTGAATGGAACACTGGACACTGTATAATAGCATATCACAAACCAAAAAAAAAACAGTTCTGGGAATGTATGTGGGTTGCTTGTAGGCTGTAAGTGAATTCACATGCAGTGCATGTACAGTGCTGTTTGTTGATAGGTGTTATGGGGAGGATATTATATCAGGAACAAACTGAGTTCAAGAGCTATTAGCAGAAGGTCACTGTGTGACTGGAATACGAGTTAAACTTTTTTTGCTCAGCTAATTCAGTTCATAGCAAAGCCACAGATGTTTTTCTAGATAGATTTTATAGATCCAATACAGATCTAATTAAAATTTCAGCACTGTGCCTATAGCAAGTATCTGATTATTATGGGTTGGTGGGTTGCTTTCTCCTGCTACAATTTGCAGTAAGTGTGTCATAGAATGGAAAAGGGCAATAATCAAAATTACTATTTCCTATAAATTCCATAGAATGAGATTCCATACATTTCAGTTTTCAAAGCCCTTTTGATAGCAAATCAAGTTTCCGTTAGTTTCAGTGATAAATAAATGCTTAGAACCAGTGTGTTTGTAGAATTATGGCACAGTGGTGATATAGTTTTATATACTTGAAATCTATTAAATGCTCATAGATCATTCAGTGTTCTTATAACTTATATATCCCAATCTTTCTGTACATTTAAAATGAAGAAACGCTTTTATTTGTCTCTTTTAAGATAATATATACTATAACATTTCTTTAAAGACACAATTATTTAGTACTGTGGTATGAGCAACAATCTCGTGAGCACATTCTTATATAAACTAGCTTGCAGCATCTGCAGTCCTAGAACTATTCAGTTTATTTGTTTTTTCTAATGTTGTTTTCAGTAATATGACCATTTGTTCTGCAGTATTTTTTTCATCACAGTATTACTGCATTATAATTTGTACAAATGTATGATTAAAATCCTTTTTGCAAGCTAAAATAACATGCAAGCATAGTGCACCAGTCAACATCTGCTTGTTGACACGCAACTGTGTAATTTAATACACTACATATCAGCTGATTACATCTTTTGACAGGAGAAATTAAAGGGGTCATATGACAATGCAAAAAATAACATTATTTTGTGTATTTAGTGTAATGCAATGTGTTTACGCGGTTTAAGGTCCAAAAAACACATTATTTTCTTCATACCTTACATTATTGTTGCTCCTCTCTGCCCCGCCTTTCTGAAACACGTCGATTTTTACAAAGCTCATCGGTCTGAAAAGCGCAGTGTGCTCTGATTGGCCAGCTATCCAGTGCATTGTGATTGGCCGAATACCTCAAATGTGAGATGGAAATGTTACGTCCCTTACCATATTTGGAAACACATAGTGTCTTCACAACATCGAGGTGGCGGCAACAATACTACAGCGAGAATAAAAGTTATGCCTTCTTTCTTTGCATAAACATTTGGGCGGTGTTATGCAAATCTTCCAACACAGTCACGTAGACATGTGGGGGCGTGTTTGAATGAGGCGTTTTAGGAAGGTATGTTGTAACTTTTATAAAGAATATGTCTTTGGGTTTGAGACTTTAGTCTTTGCATCTTTACAGATCATATATATGCACATATATTTGCTACTTGTGGCTATATTTTAAATGGATTATCAGAACTTAAACATACTGTTTTGAAGTGAACATGAATGCATAAATAAACACTACTAGAAAAAAGGTCAGTTTATTGTTGCATATTAAACCTGAGCTGAACTTCGATTTTATTAGAACACATTAAAATGACAGAAAAATTAGGTCCATTATAATGAGGATTATATTGTGATATAAATAATAATATATTATTTGTTATGTTTTAAATGCATTGCTTTGTCAGAAGGGTAATGAACACCCAATACCAGCCTAATGGTATAATCTGCCTATAATGGCTGTGGCTGACTTAAAGGGTTAGTTCACCCAAAAATGAAAATTCTGTCATTAATTACTCACCCTCATGTCGTTCTAAACCCGTAAGACCTC